GCTCAAATTTTTTTGTTTAAGTAGGTCAGAGGTCAGGTCAAGGTCAGGTCAAGGGTGCAAAATGCAAGTTTCTACAGTATCGGCGTTGCACCGTAGTTGCCGAAGAATGGACTGAGACTGATTGCCCAAAAAGTGTTCTTAGACTACCAAGACAATATTCGTTGCATACAATGTCATTCAAAGGTCAAGGTCAAGGTCAGGTCAGGTCAGGTCAGGTCACCAAAAAAAAATATAGAAAAGGGCATGTGCGACACATGTTTTATGGGTCATTTTACTCATAGAATTCAATAGGCACACTCAATAAGTGATATGGACCACCTCTGGATGAATTTCAGGTCGAGGTCAGGTCATGGTCAGGTCAAGTGAGGTCAAATTTTGAGGTTGGTTGTTAAGGCCTAAAAAGGTGTCTATCTGATGCAGTTTTTCACGGCGAATCGAATGGTGCTATTTTTGTTTCCGAATTGGTATGTAGGTGCACATAGACCACTTCTCTGACATATATTCCGGTTTTTCGATACACTCAAAATTAGGGCTGTGGAGTCGGAGTCGGAGTCGGAGTCGGTCGGAGTCGACAGTTGTGACCGGAGTCGGAGTCGGAGTCGGAGTCGATATTGGAAACCCCAGCCGGAGTCGGAGTCGGAGTCACCGAAAATCTGTCGACTCCGCAGCCCTGCCAGGTGTGCGGAGTCGGAGTCGGGAGTTGGAGTCGATCGGAGTCGACATTTCTGCCCGGAGTCAGAGTCGGAGTCGGAGTTGGTTTTTGAAAGCTGGAGTCGGAGTCGGAGTCGGAGTCGCCGTAAATCCATCGACTCCGCAGCCCTGCTCAAAATTTTGGATTTTATAATTATTTTTCCAAAAAAGTCAGTTTTTTTTAGAAAAAATGTGGGCCAAAATCCAAAATTTTCAAAAAAACGAGATAGCCATGTGATAGACAAAGTACATACACTTGTACATACACTACACTTGTACAAGTACAAGTGTAGAATCACGTATAACCTTTTTTGTTATGTCTTGATTCCTTTAAAAATGAAGATGTTAGCGGCGTTTGAAATTTTGCCGTTCTTTAGGCGAAAATGGCGAACATGACGTCACTAAAACGCCAATTTCTCAAAAATTTTCCGACGGATTTCGCTCAAATTTTCAGGGAACGTGTCAAATTGATGTATGATAAGGTACTGAAAGTTTGACGTCGCTGGCGTAACGCGTTTAGAAGTTATTGGCGAAAAACGGGAGGCGGGGCGCGGGTTAAATACCATACAGTTATCGCGCAAACATGGCCATCTAAAAATGATTTAATTATAGCTCGGCTACTGTTTCAGTAATTGAAGTGATGCCGTTGACAATGGAGCTCCTACAATTTGAGCATTAGGATACGTAGGATACGGATCCTTCTGGTCATAAGCTCTTGACATTTTCCTTCTTGAAGATAAAGCTACTAAAATTCGAAGATTACGTACCACGGTTCGTCGGAAGGTCATCTCAGGCTCAAAAGAAATGATATATACCATTCGAGAGCTGACGGTGTGTAACGTCTAGCATCTAGGGTATTGTAACGTCTAGCATTAAGCTGGTTTAAATTTTCATTTTTGATCATACCTATACTGTACGGTGTTCACCCATCTGCTCCTCCGACGTGATCCGGCCTGACCGGGACCGGAGCTGAGCCCGTGCAGGCTCGGCCGCGCGGTGTGACAGTGTAAACATTATCCAGACGCATCGGCATGCGTCACCAGCGCCGGGCGCCGCCGCTTAATTGTTGATGTACAATAAATCAGAAGGTGCGGTGGCCGCCGGTCGCTCAGGTGCTACGCCTGATGGAAAAGAACTGGAGTGGGCGTATCAGGGCAAAGGACACTCACTACCGGTTTGAACCAGTAACGAGTGGCTCGGCCTGGCTACGCGCACCCTGGGCTCTGGACCAGAGGAGGGAGTTCACCTCGGGGCTCTGGAGCGCGCGCACCTCTTCTCAAAGACACTCTGCGTCTGGGGGGAGGGGCGGGGGAAGAAGTCCGAGAACCGACGAACGACAACCACAACCAAACGGCGTTGTCACAGGTGATGTGAATCCAAAAATATAATTTTTATCAAAATCGATCGATGGCCTTTTTTGAAAATTGCGTTTTTTGTAAAAACTTTATAATTTTTATTCAATGGGCTGTCCCGGGCATTCTTGAAAATATAAACATGTATTTTTAAGTTCCAGTGAAAGCTTAACGCCAAAAGAACAATATTTAGCGAAGCAATATTTCCAAACATTAATATGCAATATGCATCTCCCAGTTCCCACAGCCGACAATAAGGAGCAATCACACAGCTCAATGTCATGATGGCCCAAAGTTAGCCACACAGAAGCGTGAAATGACCCTTATCGACTCGCAGACCCGACGCTCTCGGCCCGCCTGACCGGCCATGGAAAGAACGCTCGGCTCTCGTTCTACTAAACAAATGTCATATTTGTCAGTTTAAATGTCCAAATCGCTATTAAAGTTATTCAGGATACCTGTGAAGAAAGTTGATTGTTCTGTCATCTTCACATCATGCATTAATTTAAATTTTGCTCAATTGAGCTTGGTATCATGCCCATATAAGGAAAATTGGCCGCGCTGAAATGTCAGAGGTTGCACCGGCCTCAGCTCGGGTGGAGTAGGGGTAGCGCCCGGTGGGGCAGGGTAATTCCTTTGACCGGTCGCACGGCCGAGCAGCTGTCGCCAGTACAGCCTCTGACAGCAAAACCCCGCTCACTTCCCCTGCGCGGGCACTGAGCGCAGCTGGATGGAACAAAACATGTATAAGAAAAATGTAAATTAAAGCTTGTTGTAAATCAAGCAGAACAATGAATTTTCTTCAAAGGTATCCTGAATAACTTTAATAGCGATGCAGCCAGTTAAACTGACAAATATGACATTTGTTTAGTAGAACGAGAGCCGAACGTTCTTCCCGTGGCCGGTCAGGCGGGCCGAGAGCGCCGGGTCTGCGAGTCGATAAGGGTCATTTCACGCTTCTGTGTGGCTGTTTTTGGTCCATCGTGACACTGAGCTGTGTGACTGCGCCTTATTGTCGGCTGTGGGAGACGCATATTAATGTTAGGAAATATTGCTTCGCTAAATATTGTTCTTTTGGCGTTCAGCTTTCATTGGAACTCGAAAAAAACATGTTTATTTTTTCAAGAATGCCCGGGACAGCCCGTTGATTAAAAAATTATAAAGTTTTTACAAAAACGCAATTTAAAAAAAGGCCATCGATCGATTTTGATAAAAAATACATTTCTGGATTCAGCTCACCGTCAGCTTTCGAATGGTATATACCGTTTCTTTTGAGCCTGAGATGACCTTCCGACGAACCGTGGTACATGAACTGAATTAGGTCAAGTTACAGCTTATTTTCCTTCTTATTCAAGCATAGGTACTATTGAGCGCAGAATCCGCGCTCATACCGGGACCGGGGCTGGGCCACGGCGGGGCGCGAGTTACCTAAGTGTGGAACTACAAGTCGATTCTAGGGCTCTGATTGGTGACTTTGGTCGGGGGATGACGCTTATAGCATGACGTCACTCGCGTACTTGGCCGGACCAACGGCGCGGCGCAGGCGCGCCGAGCCAACCCAGAGGCTCTCAAACTCAATTGTACAGATCCTGCGCATTGAATGGCGAAACTTCGGCGAGTTCGCTTGAGTTTGGAAGCCCCTGCCAGAGAACTGGAGACGGCCGGATTATTTGCTGGACAGTGGGCAGCGCAGATGGCGATTGACGGTGCCAAAAAGATGATAGGGAAAAGGGGTTGAGACTTGAGCAGTGAATTATAAGCCTGTTGCATAGCTGAGTGGTAAATTGTAAAATACTTAAGGTTTGAAGAGATGCAGTGTAGTTTAGCCGACTCAGGGGCATTCTGCCGAGTTATGTAAGGCGGAAGGGTCGCAACTCGCAAGTCGTTTGTTTACATGATTGCCTGATTAAAATGTAAAGCGTACCTAATGTTTAGTTGATAATACAGCGAGGTTGGGCATCTGCTCAATCCATTTCTTCTCTGCAATAGTGCATTCGCCACTGTAATTCTTTGTAAGAGGCACTGGGCTGCGCCGCCTGTTAATTATTCCGAAACCACCAGTGAATTGTCACAGTCACTCACAACAATACGAATCGTTCAGTCGTGCGCTGGGGGTCCGCCAAGTTTGAGTGTGCTGCAGAATGCAGACTGGACCGCCGAGAATACCTATAGCACTTCCGTCTCCCTGGGCGAGCGGCGCATTGGAGCCGAAGGAAACTGCTTCAGTTTTTTTTGTGGGGAAGATACCCATGTTTGAAAATTATGTTCCGGAATGATGCGATAAGGAAAAGGACGGTTTCTTGAATTGAGGGCTGTGGAGAAGAAGCAGATTTTCTCATTTGCTACCCGATACAACGCGAAAAGACGCAAATGTTGCACATTGGGCTTGATAAGTCTAATAAAAGATAAGGGACTTCGTGAATCATGCCTAACTGACCGCGACCCAGTTATTTGCCATTGCAGGTAGGTACTAGGTAGGTAGGTAGATACTCATTTGTAAACAGAGCGTTCCACCAACCCTCGCCAGAAATTCAATCAGCAGTTGCTTATCTTAAAACGTTTGAGTGCACCTAACAACCTTTAAAAATGACGTCCTCCCTTTCAATGGTTCGTTCGAAGACACAAAGCCAGAATCAGCCAAGCAATATCGGAATCCATTGCGCAGTGTGTCGACTGTCGGATGTGCCCATCCACATAGCATAGCATACACTGCTAAATGCAGGTACGCTCACCTACACATTAGGTATTCGAAGGACTTGATAGCTCATACACATGGAAGAAACGCATGAAATGTGATTAATAGCTGCAGCAGAAGTTTGGCGTCCGATGCCTCTTCGCCAAGTTAAGACCATGCCAATCTCGGCCAGTCTGCCGCCGCGCCGGCAATGGCCGTGGTGTGACGTCATCCGGCCGGCTCGGCGCTGGGTAGTTCCACACTTAGGTAACTCGCCGGCGGGGCAGGCCTGGTGTGTCAGAGAGTGTACCGATCAGTGTGATGCGGCACAGTATCCTAGGAGGGTCACGGAATAACATGACCTGGCTGTTTCTGTTCCGAGTGGGGCGGAAAGCCGGGAAAGGAGAGCCGCAGTATGCGGCCGCAGCCCGCGTGGAGTGTGTGCGGCTAGACGTCAACGTGAGCGTGATGGCACACCTCAGTGATCTTGACAAGGGCAGGCTCATCTTGCTTTTCGATCAAGGTCACTCTGTCAAGCAGGCGGCAGAGATTCTCGGTGTAGCTCTAACTACTGCCAGACGGTGGAAACGCCGTTATGAGCAGGAAGGGAAAAGGGGTTTGAAAGCGCGCTATGATAAGTGTGGAAGAAAACGGAAGACGACGGAGGAGGAAGACAGGCGCATGGTGGAGGTTCGTACTTTTCTTTTATTATTTGTTGCTGTTGTCTCTGCATTTCTCGGTCAAGACGAGCGTGTAGTATCAGATGACTAATCGGGCCAGCATAATGATAATATCGGGCCATAATGACTAATCGGGCCAGATGATAATATGTCGATTAAACAGCATGTCTAATTGATCAAACGTGTCAAACTATTTAATGAGGTTAGTGCTTGTACGAGGAACATGTTTATAAATAGCAGAAAATGTAAAAACATGACCTTTTTTCCTCGATAATTACCAAAACTAATGCTGTACAAATATATACTTTACTTGACAGAATGTAATACTTATTTCGACCACAGGTCTTTTTCAAACATTTTCAAATTAGAAAAGTGTCAAACTATTTACTTCAAGATAGGATTGATAATAATAGCGAGTGTTTTTTCGGATCTCGCTTAATGTCGCAAGAGCCACAGCTCAAACATTTTATGTTCACGTTGAATGCTTGTAAAGTTTGTGAGACAAAATCAGAGCACATAAAAAAATCGAACCAACTGAACAATGGTTGGCGGTTTCCTGCCCTCTGGGTGTCTAAGAGACAAAACCTAAGATAAACGTTTTATGGTCTTTGTGCAACAGGTCAAATGCCAGTAAACGTTCGATGGCACAAGTCATATCCAGGTAGATATCGTTTTTGCCCAGCACGCCGTCTTCCCCGCACTCTTGCAAACGGTTCCATGTCAATTCCACCAGTGACATTTCAATCAGTGACAACTGAACCAGTGACATCTGAACCAGTGACAACTGAACCAGTAACAACTCAACCAGTGACAACTCAACCAGCGACATTTCAACCAGTGACAACCAGTGACAACCAGTGACAACCAGTGACAACTAGTGACAACTCAACCAGTGTGCTAAATGCATTGGCTCTATTGTCACAAACCACGTTGGTTAAGTTGTCACTGGTTGAGTTGACCGTATACCCTTGTGAACATGTGCATTTTTCATTGTTGTTAAATATGTCTTCACTACTCCGGCAGGTGTTTTTGCCTTCCGTGGAGGAAATGCGCCCCGACGAGGAGCGACCCTGGACTATAATGCAAGAAAACGCCCCTATCCACACAGCGAGGGCAGTCAAGCAGTGGTTTGAAGACCACGCAAACTCAGTAAGTGGCATCATAAACCTATCATGGCTGCTAACTCTGAAGGCTGCCCCACACTGGACCTCGCATGCGGGTTGCGAGTTTTTGGGTTTTCGGGTTTTTTTTCAAAATCAAATAATACAATCTAGCTGAGCGACCCACGCTACTATCTAACAAGCGAGTCTGCATGTTTTTAGCTTCCGAGCTACCTTGCATCGCATTCCAAAAGTTGATTTTGAGTCAACTTTCGATTTTACTCGCTGCGAGGTCTGCAAGCTCTACGAGGTTTGCGAGTTTTTCGTTGGAGTCGAATTTTAGTTCGTTCATGCTGGTATTGCGACCATATATAGTTTTCTGAAGGTGCACCGGCTTCACAGCATTCATGAAGTGACCATGAGGGTACGGTCTAATTACTCTATGAGTTAGTATTATGCCCGCAAACTCAAAACCCGCATGCGAGGTCCAGTGTGGGGCGGCCTGTTGTGGTATGGTTTAGCTAGGTGACCGGTGACCAAATGGCATTATTTAAAAAAAAAAATCTTGAGATGCTGTTTATTTATTTATCTGTTTATTCATTTTCACCCCAACGACAATGCATCCCAATTAGAGAAGGCGAGGCCTACGGCTATGTGCGGGAGGCCGCTTTGCCCCTGGTCGCCTCGTCCCCGCCTGTTATAAACTTATTGAGATAACTTAAACAATTATTTAAAAAGTTAAGATACCTTACAAAATTGCTCAGTAATGATCAAACACTTTCCAACAGGTGTTATTCGTTGCACCATACAGCTTCATAGTCATGACCGATGTGTCAACCTATATCACGTTACAGTGAGTAACAAATATGGTTTTGTTCGCAGGTTCTTGCCATCCCCTGGCCCTCAATGAGCCCAGACCTGAACCCTATCGAAAATGTGTGGTCTCTAATGGTTCATGAGCTGGAGGAGGAGCTGCGCCAGCCGGCCGGCAGCTCAACCAGGACGAGCTCTGGGCCGCCGTCTTGGCGAAATGGGAGGAGCTCCGCCGCCGCGCCGCCCCGGCTACTTCCGGAGCCTGGTGGCCTCGATGAGGCAGCGGCTGGAGGCCGTGCTCCGAGGCAGCGGGCGGCCACACTTCCTACTAAACCGTTCTGTTTGTTAGTCATCTTATGTTAAAGAACAGTGTTTTGTTTATAAATTTTACTTATGTTACCTACATGTGATTAGTGTGCAAGATGTATATTAGTACCAATGTGACTCAGTGACAAGAGGCTGATGCCTGATTTTTTTTCGTGATGTGATATTCAGGGGGCTTGAAACGTCTCAACTATTAGTGCGAGCTAGGAGTGCTATGATCAGCAGCACTTGTATATAGCATCGCTGGATTATGTGCAATGAGAATAGACTTGATTACTCAACCTTTTATCCGACAAACCCCAGGACTTCACCTGAAGAAATATATAGCTGACACTCCTGGCATGTCTTGTTTTATTATTTGAAAAACTGTTAACCTTCGTTTTTAGACGTAGCTGCTACTAGCATGCAGTCATTCCTCTATTGCAGTCATTTCCTCTAACAATGAATTAGTCAACTCTAATTCATTGACAGCGAGAGTTTTATCAGCACCCAGGGCTTCGACAAATTTTGAAGGACTCCGACTACTAATAAAACTGTTCACTCCGACCGACTACGGTTCCGGCTTCGACATCTTTTGCATTGAGGATTCCTAAAACGGTTGTGTTAAAGATGAAAAGGAAGATTGGTGCACTATGTGATATTTATTTTAATTGTCGCCCGTGGAAAGGGCCGCACCTTCCTGAGGGTTTTCACGAATAGCGACAAAAGGCAGCACGTAGTGCCGCCAGCTTTCCGGCTGCCTTATGGACCATCCTTTGCGCAGTTTTTGGCGGAAAAATGACCGGGTCAGGACAGGTAACAGAGCTATGACGTCACAAGGGTAACAAGGTCAGGCCGATTTTGCACGAAATCGTAGTTTTTCGTGCTTTTAACGATGATGTCGGTTACACTTTGGCATTGTTTGGGTCAAAAGTGACTGACATGGCACTGACACACCCTCTATTGACCTATGTAGGGTTAAGGTCAGGTCAGGTCTAGTTCAGGTCAGTGACCTCTGGTGACCTCTTGAAGTTTGACTTTCCGGCGGTAATTTTTGGCCCTGAATTCGAATCTGACGGCCAAATAAAGCTCGGGCACTTGGTTTATTGAGCGTCTCAGGGTCAAAGAGAAGTCGTCGACAGGTTAGATCACATTTCCGACCCCAACTGTCAGACGGCATTTTCGACTACCCGGGGCGCGAACGCGACCCCGCCGGCTTTCGGGCGCTCTGCCCCGGAAGTTATCGCGTAAAATGTGACAAACTATACACCAAAATGCACCACATTCATCCAGAAATACGATGGTGAAAATTCCATGACGATATCTGCCATAGCGGCGACGCTACAGGCGCGCAAAGTTAAAAATGCCGATTTTCCCGAACTTTGATCTTTAACCTGCCAAACCTAGGTCATATATTGACCTATGGTCAAAAGTAATATGCGCAATCGCGAGCTCTCGTCGAGAGCAATACGCTGTTTTTCCGCTAAGCTCTACGACGACGCGTTTCGAAACGGCAGAAGGGGTCGTACCCCCCCCCCCCCCATCCTCCACTGGAAAGGATGGTGAAATGCCGTCCACGGGCGAGGGTTAAATTTCTAAATTACAAAGTTCTTAAGCGCCGATTCGGGCAACTTTCATAACGGTAATACCGAGGGGCACGCATTCGTGACGCATGCCCAATAAATGTGAATTGTTATGTCACATTGACGTTATTGACGTTCACATTGACGTCACATTGAAGTCTAGTTCAGACAGAATGCCGGTGGCCATAGGGAAGTTGTGGCATTTTCGCTTATAGTTAGTTCGGTTCAGACTTACGGTGAGATTTGTGCTTCCGGTACTTATTTGATAGGGACGGATTTTTTTTTATTAAGGTGAGATGAGCATTTTTGAGAAACATGGCAAACTTCCATTTATAGTTAATAAAAAGTGTGCTCGTGGTCTGGAAGAGCAAGGTTAAGAGCAAGGAGCAAGGCCAAAAACATCAGGAGTTTTTCTATAAAACGTTGCGGTGAGAGCAAAGAGGGCGAGGAATTTAAGAATGATCCGAAACTACGTAACGGCACACCTTAAAATACAGAAGCCTCTTTAATCGCATTCCTACAGAAAGGGGTCTTTCCCCGGCTGGTCGGCCATATTACAGTAATACACCGTTTCACCATGTCTGTGGCCTGCCTGTGTAGGGGAACAGCTATCTGCTACACCGCCCGGGCCCGCTCCCCGCAAACAGCCACCGTGATCAGTAGACTTCAAGCAAACCCAAAACTTTGCTGGAGAAATAATCCCAATATACACAGTACACACTGCCGCACTAACTCCGCGCGGGCTGCGACTGCATGAATAGCTCCCCTTCCCCGGCCTCCCTCCCCCACTCGGGGGGAGGGAGGCCGGGGCGGCTGCCTTCCGTGCGGCGGCTGACCCAAGTTCACCAGACAGCAGCCGCCTGGATGGGATACTGTTCCGCAGCGCACTATCGGTACACTCTCTGATACACCAGACCTGTCCCGCTTCGGTCCCGGTATGAGCGCGGATTCTGCGCTCAATAGTACCTATTACCTAACCTAAAGCTAAAAAGCAAATCCTCAAAAGATTGAAGAACCCAATCTACATATCAAAGCTATATCAAGAAAAACACTCGGTTCAGAAGTCAGATCGAGATGCAGGACGAGAAACAACAGATTGATCCGTAACTGTGCTAGACAGAAAGTGAGGAATTACGAATACCGTAAAGTGGGGCTATTTGAAACGGATTTTACAGTTTTTGGCCTCTCCCTTTAAGACGGTTCATATTTCTTATAGCATGTAAATTGCAAAAATGTAGTTCTCTGTGAGCTCTTTAATATAGGTGCATTTTGGTTCAGCTAGTAATAATGATTAAGGTTATTTTTTATGTTAAAGCCTGTTTCAAATAGCCCCATAGGGTGTGGCTATTTAAGACAATTTTAGTTGCAAAGGAATTAAAGAAAATCGGTCACGCTAGAGATAATTTTTTAAACGCCATGCGTTTGAAAATTGAATTTTGATCATTTTGGCAAAAATTGTTTTTTTCAAAGACTGTTATATGACCTTTATATTCAATCTTTTCCTTTTTCGTAGGACACTTCATTTCGGTAGGGTATAAAATTGCATCATTATATGCTAAGGCTATCATAATATGATGTGACCCATAGCTTTCAAAATGACAGGATGATCATCAAGGACTATTTTAAAGTCATCGACAGTAAAATTTTGAAAGTAAGTTTTTGTGTATAGCCCCGGTGACGTGAAAACAGATATACCGAAAGTCGGTGGGGCTATTTGAGACAGTCTCGCTACCTTATGAAGCACACTGTAATGAATCAAACAAGGCAAAAGGTTTCCGAAAACATTTGAGTGAATGGTCTGCATGATTGTTTGTTCCATTGTACATCTCCATGCGAAGAAATAACAGAAAAATGTTTAACGGTTTTGATTTTATGCCAATTTTCCTCGATCGCTGCATGCTGTATCAATTGGCCGGTTACCCTACCACATCAAGTACTTGGATAGGCTCACCTAACAGTACGTTCATGTGTTAAATAACATTCAGTGGTGTTTTTTGGTCAACCACGGTAGACATATGTTGATTGTCGACTGAGTCAGTGACTGATGAAGCACATTTTAAGCACATATTCATCAGAACAACTAGTTTGGTCACCAGCTAAAGGGTTATTATGTTACACTACGAACATGTAAATATTGCTTGCTGCTTGAAGTAGGTACCTACCATGAACCCACTGCACGTTTATGACCACGACCGATTCATCGGTGTTGCTCATGTCGAACGTTCGATGCACTTCAAGTAGATGGCGGTAAGTCTTCTCGGGTGCATCGCATCACCCATGGGTGGAGCTTTTCCAGGAAAGTTGGTGGGGCAAAAAGTTGTCAAACCTACAATGTCCGATTGTTAAGTTAGATAAAATTCAACAATGAATCAATTCTTTTCATTACAGAGATAATATTTTGCATTACACAGACATTTCAAAGCTCCTCAATGCGAAAAACATAGGTTTGCTAAGCAGTAAAGTCCTGCAAATCGGCTTAAGTTGGTGGGGCAAAACGCTTATTGGTGGGGGAAAATGGCAAGTTGGTGGGGCAGGCGCCCCACTAAGTGAATAGGAAGCTCCACCCCTGGCATCATCGCTATCATCAGCTATTTGGCATATCCGTTGAGGTTTGACCAGGTGGGCATCATCGGGATTCTGAGACAATGGGTTACGCAATCGGCAGTACCGTTAACAATATATAATATTTTCATGAAAAATGTGCTTAGCCTATAAGCAAAATGGTAGTAACGATGGATACAGTGGCGAAGCTGCTAAAACTTCAACTTTTTAACCCGCGCCCTGGTGGGGTCTGTTTATAACGCGACCTGGTGGGGGGGCTATTTTTTGCCCCCCCCCCCCTCGTATCTCCGAAACTACTGGACGGATCCGCAAAATTCAAACGGCGTTCGAAAGGCCTGTCAAATTTGTCAAGGGAAATCAAATTTCATTGACCTCGGGGTCACCGATGACGTCACAGGTCAGGTCAAAGATGAAATGTTTCACCGTTCACGGGTCTTCTAGGGAATGCGCTATAACACCGAGGAAAACGCATTTTTCGAGAATCAGCGATAGGGCGTCGGTTGCCTAGTAGATATGTTGCTATTAGAGGTCACTGACAATACCAGGTCAGGTCACAGGTCAGGTCACCAAGGGTCACAGGTCAGGTCACATGAGCCCAACTTTACTAAGGTTGTGTGATGCATGTTTTATGGCCAATTTTTCATTTCCAACTCAATGGTGTTGGTTATAAGGCTATCAGGTACAGCTTAGGTCACTTTCTGGTGAAGTTCAGGTCAAGGTCAGGTCAAGGTCAGGCCAAAAAAGGTCAAATTTTAAAGCTGATAGTTTTGCATAAAATGGGTATTGATTCGATGCAGCTCGTCACGGGGAGTCTAATGGTGGTCTTTGTTTTGCGCTACGGGGTCTAGAACTGCTAAAAATTGAGTTTGAAAATTTGACGTCATCAATTTTGAAGTTTTTTCGCTATAACTTCGCCAAAAAAAAGAGGTATCATTCTCAAATTTGGTATGTGGATGAAAGGTGGTAAGGACTATCACATATATTCCGGTTTTTGCGAAATTCAAAAAACTTTTTGGATTTTTCGATCATTATATCCAAAAAAATTATTTTTTGATTTTTGGGGGTCAAAATCAAAAAATTTCAAAAATCCGAGATAGCAGTTTTGTAGCCCTGTCAATTCTACAGCTTTTATGTCCTTATCATTTTTCTGTATTTGCAAAGCTATAGGCCTGACAGCTCTTCCCGCGAGACCCTTTTTTGGGTCGAAAACGGCAGAAC